GGACCTCTTGCAACACTTGGATTGCAACACTATTTTAAAGTGTTGCGTTATATATATAATAGCAACACTTTTTTTGAGAGTTGCGTATTAGATCATTTACGCAACCAAAATTAATTACTTTAAAAAAATGGGTTGCGCTTGTTATCCTTATGCAACACTTATATTAGAAATGATTTTTTTGTTATCCTTATGCAACACTTATATTAGAAATGATTTTTTTGTTGCCTATTTGTATATTTTAAGCAACACTTTAACAAATTAAGTTGCAAAAGGTATGTATTGATAACTTCTAATATATATTGGTTAAAATCATCACAAGTATGACAAAAAAGAGTTGTCACTTTTCACGTTATATGTGACACTAACTTATGAAATTCACTCCAACAAGAAACACAAACTTCTTGAAATTTATTCATGTGAAAATATCTTTAATCAAGCAAGAAATCATTTCTCCCAACTTTACCAAAATTGAGACAATTTTCTCATACTTCTCTTCGTGAAATTCCCCTGCTCAAGATAAAGTCTCCGGCGTGATCCCCCTGCCTAAAAATTCTCAGGCAGCGCAAAGAAGGCCGGATAATCATATTAGTTCCAGTGTTTCGGTTAATTAGTAACGTCATACCTCCTCGAATAATCATAGCTTTCTTTCTCGATGATGATGATGGGTCTTATCTTCAGCAGTCCACATTCGCTTGCTTAAATTATATTGTAAATTTGTAATACAAACTAACTACAAAGAGATAAACCCAAATATTGGGTAGACAAAAAAATAAAAAAAATATATTGGGAAGGAGAAGATCTGGCGGGATTACGTTTGCCTTCATCTCGAATTAGTTACCACATTAACATGTTATCGTATCAAGTTACAGAAGCCCTTCTCTTGCCTTTCCACGCCGCCTAAGGGCATAAACCCTCCACAATTACAAAAGCTCTGAATTTGTTATTCAGTCTACTACTATAAAAAATTCCCAATCAACCTCCCTTCCTCTCATCTTTCCCAGCCGCCTACCAATCTCCATGGGTGGAATCCCGATCGGCCGACTCATCTGATTCTTCGACAAGCTCGTCGATTGTAATCAACCTACGTCTCTACTCTTCTGTGCTCTTGGGGTACGGTATTAGAGGTTAAAAGACTTAACTATCCCTTTCCCAACAACTCGAGTTATTGGGACCAAGGGGTTAGTTCACTAACATGGTATCAGAGCCTAGAACCGAAAGGTCATGGTTTCGAATCTCGTTGTTTGGAAGCACAAGGGTTCAACCTGTGCAAACCGTAAAAATCCACAATTCGGCATTGGCTTTCGTTTGAGGGAGCGTATTAGAAGTTAAAAGGTCGCTAACATACTGTGCTTATATAATCTGCTTTCTCCTTTACTGACGGTTACTATGCTTTCTCATCGGATTTTCTTGTCTCCTTCCATTCAGAGGTAAAGTCGAGTTAAGAATATCATCTACGATTAGAGGCACAGTTAGGAGCGCAAAACAAGAAGTTGCAAGCACACCTTACTGACCTTGAGGAAAGCATTTGAAAGCCATGGAAGAATTTTTGTCTTCGGAATTAATTCTCCAATTTGATGATGACAAGAGAGAACCTCATCAGTCTCCCATGCATTTATGGTTTTAAGTTTTATGTAATACTATTTAGTATCTTCTAATAACAATAGAGTTCAAAGATATTTTTGTCTGCTATGTTGTAACCATTCTCGTCACAACAATACTTCTTTGTTGATTGCATGGTTTGTGAGAGAATCACGCCATCAAACCTTTGAATTAGTCATAAGAAAAATTGCTGCAGCTCATATGAGAAGTGACAACAAACTTTGTCACTTAAAATCTTTTTTTTGGCAACATGCATTGTATAATAACGTTGCTTCAGTGATGAAATTTTTTTCATTAAAATGATCGATATCCTGTAGTGACATTCATATAGTCATGAATGTACATTATCAGTGACGAACCTAATTCATCACAAATAGTGTTGCATATGTCACAAATAGTCACTTTAGTGACAACAAATCTGTCCCCTGGATCCCTACCTTCGATTTCAAAATGTGTTTTTGTGACAAAACTATAGTGATAGATAACAATTATTTGTGACACTTGAACATGTCACTATTTTGATTTTAGTGTCGTCACTAAATTGTCACGAAAATATTACTATTTGTTACAAACAAAATTGTCACAACAGGGTTAGTCATTTGTGACGATTAAGACTCGTCACAAATAAAATTATATTTGTTGAGAAAACTTGTAAAAAATGTTGCCTATGTTTGAAAAATGTGTTGCAAAAAGTTTGAAATGCGTTGCGTGAAATGGTGTTGCGCAAGAGGTAATAAATTGCAACCCTTTTAATTTTGGTTGCGAAAAATGGAAAAATTGTTGCCTATTCATTTTGCAACCCCCACTATATGCAACACTACTAAAAGTGTTGCGTTAAAATTTTGCAACTCTTTTATGACTTCTTGCAACACGTTTCTGAGGGTTGCAAGAGGCCTTTTTTTCCCATAGTGCACCCTAAGCACTAGTCCGGTTTTTAAATACAATCATCACCATTATAAAAAAACAAATGTATAATCGTCTATATCAATATTTTTACAAGAGACTCAACGGTGAAATTGAAAGAAATATGATAAGCTAGAGAAAGTTTGGCAGCTGTTGGTGCATAAATCCGTCGTTACTGTGCAATTCGTAGTAAATGCATGTAAATTACATTATCCCGTTATCTCGATCCAACTTGTACCAGAATATATATTGAAAAAAACTATGTGTTCCTTTTTACAAACTGTAATATTTCGTACGTGATCGTTTGCTCCAACCAACTGGCCATTAATTATGAGAGGGTTTGGATTACTTCGAATGAAATCCAGTTTTTTTATAACAAAAGTCACATCGAAAATATTTGACAATATGGTGAAATATTGAGCTGCAGACATATGAAAATTATTATTATTATATATTAAAGTAAGATGGGGGAAGCAGCACAAACAAATGTCTACAAAAAATTAGTGGGTAGCTGAGATACAATTTGGGATTCACTCCCGTAGTTATAGCAAAACTAAGTCTAATAAAAATGTATACGGCCGCCCAAGTCTCTGCATTCTGAGATAGAGAATTTATGAATCCGCTTAAGCAAAACCACAACATTCGTGCATGAAAATGATGTCGTTACCGCCAGACCGGTAAGTGCTATTGCCGAATTGGCTAGGCCCTGCGCTGACACTAAAGTCCATTTAGACTGAATTTTTCCTTAACTACATTAGTTCTTAAAAAAGTCCCCACGCTCTCTCTATTTGTTTAGTTTGTTTTCTGTCCTTTGTAATTAAGCTTGTTAATTGATTTCGTCCTATAAGAAAAACATCCTATAAATTTATTTCTTCTGCATGGTTGAACCCACTGGCGGATCCAGGGGTGGCCACCCCGGGCCCCGGCCCAGCCCTCCTCTGGATCCGGAGTTAGTATAGTCTTTATGAATTTTTCGATTTTAGTTATTCGGCCCAGTGTTCTTTTATAACAAAATTGGGTGTAACTAGAAAAATGATTCAAATTAACATATTCAAATCACTACTATAAATTTAGCCTAGAAATTCTACCTCCAAAGATTATTCTTCTAAAATAACAATGAAATCTAAAATTCTAAAAGTCTAAACGTAAAAGACTATAAGAAATATGAGTTTTAATTCCTTGAAAATTTACTAAAGCAGCTAGTGGATATAGGTATGGACACACAATGCACGATTGATTTGTCTAGCGTTGACGCTGATCGTATCACCAATTACTACGGGGAGAACCTTTTCAACAATGAAACATATGAAAACTTATTTGTGCAACAAAACGAGCGATGAATTTCTCGCCGATTGCTCAAGTATTTTATTTAAAACAGTGTATACTATTGGTATTGATGTAGACTCCATTATTGATGTATTCGCTAAATTAAAATACCGTCGTGTACAATTTATATTGTAAAAAAAAATATAATGTTTTTTTACGGTTCTAATTTTCTAATGAAATGCGGTCCAGTGCTCTTTTGTGTTCTGGATCCGCCGCTGGTTGAACCATTGATTCGACTCACGGAAGTTAAAGTAAGGTGCTACAACACTGTGGTTTATTGATCTATAAACATTATCGGTTAATAGTAGTACCCTCGAGATTAGACGTACTAAATTTTTTTGACGTAAAAAAGAAAAAATGAAAATTTAACCAATAAGCCGAAAAGGTGCCTACGATACATATTTCATAAAGAAAAAGTACAAACGTAAAAAAAGGACAGCCACGAAATTTCACGGAAAAGGGAAAATGAATATTCACAAGAAAGTGCCATAAAAATATTCACAAGAAACTTCTTTTCATGAATGGAAAAGCTGGAAAAAACTATGGAATTGCTGATGGGTGCCTGGGCCTAACTAGAAAAAGGTTTATAAAAGTTGGTAGTATTTTCCGGGTATGATCTACCTTGATTACATTACATATATGTCTCATCTTTCAGAATTTTGTATCAATGTGTTTAAAACTTTCTTTATCCCTCTATAATCAAATTAATCTGGTCGATGCTAGATACGACACCACCACTAAAGTAAAACTCAAATCTTACATAAACGGTGTTAAATCGATATGGAGAATTAGAATATGGAGTACTATTCTATAGTAATCACGTACATTCAAATAATATCTAAATCACAATAATGTGTAACAAGCTGTCCACAACTTCGATTTACTTATTTGGACATTTAGTAATCGTGCTAATGTTAGTATTTTTTTTAACTCGTGTAATTATACAAGTTGGAAATTTCCAAAATCCAAACCCATTAATTAATAAATCAGATTATTACTCCAAAACTTTGCTCTTTTTCACAAAAATCGAATCGAATCAATTCAAATCAAATCAAATGCATCAGTAATTGGAGGTGTGGTAGTAACTGAAACTAGGTAGTGTTTCCTCAAGTGATTCAAGCAGCAGCAGCAAGGCAAAGGGGTTAAATATAAAACACTAAAACAGAGACAGTGAGAGTTGCCTTCTTCAACACTTCTTCTCCCTTCCCCTTCCCCGCCACCACCACCACCACCACCTGCCTATTTCCTCACAAGACTCTATAAATACCCTTTTTCCTCTCCCCTTTCCCCTTCCCTCTCCTCTCTTTTTCTCTTCCTTCTCTGGTTCGTAATTTGTTCCTCCAATCATCAAATCCCATTTCTCTCCCTACCCCTCCGCCAATTCTCCAAATCACAGAAAGGTCTTCCGCCGCTTCCTGCGTTTACCCGGTGGCCGGCTGGCAATTGCTAGAACAACCGTTTCCACCTGGATCATTCAGGTACAACGTTTTAATTCCCCCTTTCTATTGCTAGCTCTGTTTTTTTATTTTTCCTTTTCTTTTCAAGAACCCTGATTGGCTTTCACAATGACGGAGTAACCCTCGACAATCGTCGACGTAAAAGATTGAATCTTCTCTTTCTGATGAGATCAGTTCCGAGATCTATTCTAATTCCTGTGCGGTGTGTCTTTCTTTCTTTATCTTGTTTTTACCCATTACGATTCGTCATGCAAAGCCTGGGCTGTTCGTGGAGCCGACTTTCCATTGGGCACCCAAGGTGTTTGATGAAATGTCTCTGTTACTCTGTAGTCGTGGGTCGCTTTTGTGTGTGTATGGAATCTGATCTTGACGTCTCATTGGGTCGTCCGCAATATTATTCTACAGCGATTCCCTTTTTTGGGTTTGTCGGTTCTCATCAGCTGGCTGCCAACAGAAGCAAAAAAGTTCTTTGTTTTATGGTTATGGCCGACCTGATTTCTCAATCGCTCTTAATCCCTTTCTTCCGATCGATGTCACCCATCGATTGATTAGAATGTACTTGACATGGGTACAATAATGGGATTTTGGCACCAATCCAAAAAATACCTTAACGCACATATTAAACTCCGAGGAACAAATTTTGGGATTCGAAAGATGAAAAATCTAAACCTTGTTGTAACATGGACGATTCCATGTTGACCGGACAAAACAAAGATTTAAGAAATTTCCCAGGACATGTGTCACATTTTTAACTGATCGGCTGAGGCAATTCGGAAATATATATAAGTATTTAGCACAGTATAGTACTATACGTGTTGCTCATCAAAACTTCATTGATCTGGAGATGCATGGTCTAATATGCAATCTCACATATCAATCAGAAGGTGATCTGGGTACATGAGGGTTTTAATATGTTTCTGTTGTTCTTTTCTGTATACGTGTTGGCTTTTCGTTTTCCTCTGTTCTCTTGTAGTTGAGGGAGGTGGGATTTTTTACGGTCGTTTCGGTAGTTGCAGTGTCTTGTCAGTATGGTGGACCGAGTTGTTTGTGTTTCTCCTGAATTGTCATTATTAATTGGTTTCTTCTTTGTTTTTTAAGGCTAAAAAATGCGTACTTCTGACAATAATTTAATTAGATCTACAGGTGAAGTAACTCCTTCGAAGTTAGGAGAGAGAGCTACATAGTTGGACCTTCTGTCCGCATGTTGTTACATGTGCAAACTCAGTTTAATAATGCAACATGAATGCCGATGCAATGTTTTAAACTGCAACATTGTTCATTAATTCATTCACGTTAGCGAATGCCGAATGGGGTTAGGGGATGGCCTTTTGTATTATATTTATGCAAGATGAAGAAGTCCTCTGCCCCAAGTAAAACAGTTTCTTGGGTGAAGGACTGTAGTTTGGGATAATCAAAAGTATTAGTTGCCTTTAAGTGGGTTTATAATGCGGCAGGAGTGGATAACGATGGTACTTATATTGTAGCCACTTGGTTTAAAATATGATAATGTTGCCTTATTAGATCTAATACTACTGTGGCTTGCATTTAAATGATCTGCCTCTAAATATGTAATTGCAATTTGCAACTGCTGGCCAGGAAAACAGGAGACTGATGAACTATGCCAACTTGTTATAAGGGTTGTAGCTTTTTGTGTTTAATCAGGAATCCATTTCCTGTGAAAGGAACAGTGGGATCTTTCCTTTCAAGTTTCAATGGCAAACTTGTTCAAATGTTACTTCCTGTTCAAGGTCTACTTTTTCTCTTTTTGGAAACCTTTTTAAGGTCTACTTGATCTCTGTATCTTTGCTTGTTGTGATAGTGAGAGCTTTTAAGTTGATTCAGTTTGCAGACCCTGCAATTGCTTCTGTGGCTTAGAATGTTACAGCAGCTATTTAACTGCAGCGAGGCCATCTTTTTTGTTCAGTTTCTATTGATAGTCTACAATTCTCAGGTCAATATTCTGCAGTCTTCTTGCAGCCGTTTAAGAAGTGGTCCCTATGGCCTTATCTTTGTTCTGGAATACTTGTCTCTTTCCTCTGCTCACGAATACTTGCACTTATCCTTGCCCCTTTTTCTAGTCAAGTTTCTGGGATTTTTTTGCATCGCTGGTAGAGTCGTAGTTTCTTTATGTTTTCTCCCCTGTTTGAATTTGGGTTTCTGTTCTTTCTTGCAGTCTGTGTCAACCGAAGTACCGTACTTTGACTGTGGTTTAGAAATTAGAAAGCAAATCTTGCCGTGACTAAATGGTTCTTTGTCTATTGTTTTTGTTCAAGGCAGATACGGAAGTGCAGATTGGCCAGCAAAAGTCATTTTTTCTCTCAACAATCTTTTTTGACAAATAATGTTCAACTTTACCCGCTTGCTATAAATGTGGTGCAGCTTTGGAGATGAAAAGGTAAAATGGATTTCTGATATTGCTATATATGTCTAAACGCCTTCAGCTTATAACAGTTTTAACTCTGTGAGCCATCTTATCAGTTTTCGGGAAGTCTGCGCTTGATGGATAGCTCTCCCAGTTGCAGTGACAAGAAAACATTGAAGAGGTGGTTTTTCATTGACAAGAGGGTAGGGTAAACAATCACCGAGGGCAGATCGATCTTTCAGAGTGCTTTTTCATACACCTAACTCTCTATAACTAGATCACAAAAAAAGAGTCTGTGGCCTTAAATGGAGATGAAATCAAGTAGTTCCTCTCCAGTTCTCACTGATCCATCTCCAATAAACAAGAGACTTGGTATCCATACCGGTCTGCCTTCATTCTCCTCTGGGAAGTACATTAACATCCCTAGGAAAAAGATAGGGAAGCTTGACGACGTTCGATCCAATGGATGGCTTGATGCCATGAAATCATCATCACCTCCTCGCAAGAAATTCATCAAGGGTTTCAGCACCGCAGCTGAAGATCCTGACTTTGCTTACTGCTCCTGGATGGTAAGAATGTTATATAGCATCACCTTCTAAATTGGTAAGCTGAATGTTTAGGGTCATGGTAGATTGTAAAGAACCCTGGTTTGTGATGTTATGCAGCTCAAGTATCCATCAGCATTAAGTTCATTTGAGCACATTACCCATTCTGCAAGGAACAAGAAGATAGCAGTGTTTTTAGATTATGATGGAACACTATCTCCAATAGTAGACGACCCAGATCAAGCTCTAATGTCAGAGGAGGTTAATTATCAGCTTCCTGTTTCACCAGATTATTTATTTCTTTCCACTATTTTGTTGTTTGATTTTCTGACGTTGAGATGTCAATGTTTATCTAGATGCGTTCTGCTGTAAGAAACGTAGCAAAGTATTTCCCAACAGCCATTATCAGTGGAAGGAGCCGTGACAAGGTAGGTGTACGAAGTATTATTTTCCATTTCAGTACCTTCTTTTACAAGTCTGTTGTGCTGTGTGAATGTGATGTGATGCCTTGCCCTACTGCGTGTATTAAATCCAGGTTTATGAGTTGGTAGGACTAAGAGAGCTCTACTATGCCGGTAGTCATGGAATGGACATCATGGGTCCTACCATCCAAACAGTGCCCACTGACCACCATCTGAACTCTTGTGTTGAATCTACTACTGACCAACAGGTAGTTTGAAATAGCAGTTAGCTATACTGATTTGGTTTTCCGATGGATCTTTGTTGTTTATTGTTTTTTACACTCTAAATCTCAACAGGGCAAGGAGGTGAACCTTTTCCAGCCCGCCAGAGAATTCATTTCCATGATCGATGAGGTGAGCAAGTCAGGAAGCTGAGATTTGACTAAATGAACTCAACATTCTTTTCTTGATAATGAAAGTAAAAAAACTTTGTGGTGATGTGTTGGATGCTTGCAGGTTTTTAGAACCCTTGTCGAGAATACGAAAGATATAAAAGGTTCGAAAGTTGAGAACCACAAGTTCTGTACCTCTGTACATTATCGTAACGTAGATGAAAAGGTAAAACCGACAATGCCATTAAAAGTTTCTTAGACACTTTGCTTGTTCAATCAAAAGACGACTTTTATATTTGGGTATTATTGATTGTCCAGAATTGGCCTACAATTGCTCAACGCGTTCATGATATCTTAAAGGACTATCCTCGCTTGCGATTAACTCACGGGCGGAAGGTAAGAAAAAGAATAGATATCAGTCTTTTTGTCTCTTGTTTTGTCCAATTTCCCCTTTGACATTGAATGTTATATGCTGGATGAATACACTCGCTTCAGGTTTTAGAAGTCCGCCCAGAGATCGAATGGGATAAAGGGAAAGCTGTTGAGTTTCTGTTGGAGTCTCTTGATCTGAGCGATGTTGAAAATGTACTGCCGATCTACATAGGGGATGACCGGACGGACGAAGATGCATTCAAGGTCTTGAGGCAAGGGAAGAGAGGGTATGGGATTCTTGTCTCCTCTGTAGCTAAAGAGAGCAGTGCTTTCTACTCCCTCAGAGATCCTACTGAGGTAATTAAGAACAAACTACAAACTCTCTGTTGGCAAAATGGTACTTTATATTACTCTGGTGAATTGAATGAATGTTGTTTCTTGGGGGAAATATATACAGGTAATGAGATTTTTGAATTCCCTAGTGGTATGGAAGAGGCTGCTTGAAGGTGGTGGGAGTGGAGGAAAGATGAACAGAAGAACAATTTAGTAGTGGAGCTGCATGCAAATAAAAGAGTTTTCTTTTTTGCAGGGCTGCCAACTAGTTTGCTCTGTTGTTTTAGCTTTCTGTTCTTTCACATTCTATAGAGTATGATGCGTGCAGCTGGCCAATATTGGCGCAAGCCACTACTGGCTATGCCTTCTCTACGTTTATAACTGTAGTTCCCTCTCGATTTTTTTGTTTGTTTATTACCATGGAATTTTGTTCTACAGCTTTTATTCAATGTAACATGGCAGTATTTGTCTTGCACGATTTGAGTCAATAAAAATGTAACCTTGGTTTTTATTTAGTGTTCATATAAAGAGGAAAATGACCAATTACATACTAAATCTTATTTCCTATCAAACTCTTAACCCATGATTAAAAAATCAAGTGATTAACCATCACGTAATAATTTTAACTCAATAAATATACTTGATTAATTGAACTCAATCTTAACTTGATGAAATAAGCTCGACTCAATAAATATACTTGATTAATTGAACACAATTTTAAACTCAAATAAATGTACTGATGTTCTTATTCTACATCTTGCCAATTTCCATCTTGATAGAATTAACATGGTTGAGATCACGAGATGGGGCTTGTGGAATGAAAAGACTCAAAAGACCAAGCCCACGCAAGGAACAAGAAAACCATGTGGATTCAACTCCAACTTCCAAACTGGAAAATACATAAGCCGTTAAAAATGACAAGTTTGGATGCTTCAAACGGATAAAACAAGACTTTGATAGAATCTTGAAGCGAATCAATTTCATTATTACAATGAATAATAATCTTTCTAATATCAAAATGAACAGTCTTCCAATATATTTTTATCTGGATCGAAAAGGGTCGACGGAGCATGTGAGAAAAGGTTACTGATCGTCATGGATAGTATCACCCATTTTCCCGTTTTTGTCATTTCATTTTGATGAAGATAAAGCCAGGTCTCTGTTAGACTTTGAATATACTTTCCTTTAATTTGTTTTATTTGGGACTTCGTCTTCCTCGTGTATATAAGAGCGAGAAAATCCTTTGCATCACAGCTTGCCACATCAGTTCTAGAAGAGAAGAAAAAATGGGAGTCGTCACCTTGCAGTCTCCGCCCGCCTCTTCTGCAACTCTTACCTCCAAATCGCGACTTGTCCAGGTAATGATTTGCTTTAGCTTATCTATGGCGGGCATGGGCATTCTCAAATCGAGCTTGAACTTAATACCCAGATACCTAAGTTGCCCGCCGCAGCATCATCTCCAGCTTCACTCTTCCAGCTCCGCCGCTCCTTCCCACGGATTCGCGCCTCCGCCGCAGGCTCATCTCCTCCACTCCACACTGGTAAAGTTTTCGCCTTTATCAGAAATTCTTACTTTCCCTGCTTCAACTTGATTGCGATTGATTTCCTATGGGTTTACTTTTGTTCGTTTTAATTTTTTTGTAGGTTCGCCCAGTACTAGTGAACTGGATGCAGTTTCTGGATTCAGTGAGATTGTTCCTGATACTGTCATCTTCGATGATTTCGAGAAGTATATCTATGATCTTCCATTAATTCCTGGCAGTGTCCTGAGTTAGTGGTTTGTTTAGCTAACTCATTAAGCACTGCTTTGACCATTACAGGTTTCCTCCAACTGCAGCAACTGTTAGCTCATCGCTTCTCCTAGGTATTTGCAGCCTTCCTGATACCATTTTCAGGGTGAGCACATCCTTTGGAACTTTAATTAGATACTGAGTGTTGATTCCTCCCCTCCCCCTCCTCTAGACAGCTTGTTGTTGTGCTGCTTGCATAATTGACTTAAATTTGTGGGGTTTCGTAGAATGCTGTGGATATGGCTTTGGCAGATTCCGGGTGTTCAGCTTTGGAAAACCAGGAACTTAGATTATCCTGTTTTGCTAACAAGGTAGGTTCATCGCGGTTCGGTCAGCTAATGTGTTATTATATAGGATTGTGAAGTCCATCATATGTTGAGTCTTTGTTGGTCAAATATATGATTAGCTGTAAATTCTGGTTATTTGTTCATATAGGCTTTAGTGAATGTTGGAGGGGATCTGGCCAAAATGGTACCTGGCAGGGTTTCAACTGAAGTGGATGCCCGGTTGGCTTATGACACCCATGCTATAATCAGGAAGGTAATGCCTTTCACGCAAGTTTTCTGTATTTCTAATGGGGTTTCCTGACTTATTTCAGCCTAATAGCTATAACTTATTGAGGGCTTTCTGAGTAGGGCGTTGATGCTGGTTTGTCTATCTATGGTGCAGGTGCATGACTTGTTGAAGCTGTACAATGAAATTAATGTAACTGAAGACCGCTTGCTATTCAAAATTCCAGCAACCTGGCAAGTTAGTGTCCATGCTATGCTGTTTGAGGAAATTGTGGTTTGCTAGAAAAGAGATGGTTCTTTTCATGTGGACAATCGCTTGATCTTTCTGATAGGGAATTGAGGCGGCTAGGCTGTTGGAATCAGAGGGCATACAAACGCATCTGACATTTGTATACAGGTATATACATTGTGAACACGTTTCCATTTACATCGATCTTCGACCATTTGTCACCTTCAATATTTATAATTTTGTGTACTGTTATGTCTTAGTTTTGCTCAAGCTGCTGCTGCTGCCCAAGCTGGTGCATCTGTCATCCAGATTTTTGTTGGACGGCTGAGGGTAATCACCATTATCATTCACTGACTATTCTTTTTGAGAAAACTGTTCAGTATATATCTTTTTCACCGTTGAGATGAACCAAACCTGTCATTATGCTTCAGGATTGGGCTCGAAACCATTCTGGCGATCCTGAGATAGAAGCTGCCCTGAAAAGAGGAGAGGATCCTGGCTTGGCTTTGGTTAGTCACACAGCTCATTTTTAATGTTTGCTCACTTAGTCATATGATATCCAATATAATTGCATAGTTTCCAGAAGTTGCTGAATGAAATGACCTTTATATTCACCCGGAGGCGTGGTTAATTAACTTATCAGACCATAATGGACTGTTGTTTCTGATTTCAGGTGACCAAGACGTATAACTACATCCACAAGTATGGACATAAGTCGAAGTTGATGGCAGCAGCAGTTCGTAACAAACAGGATCTATTCAGCCTCCTGGGGTAACTCATGAGTCATGAGTTAATAGTTGTTTAAGAACGTGAAATTCGAAACGATATACTAAAACTTGATTGGTTGCATTGCATTTCAGGGTTGACTATATCATTGCACCTTTGAAGGTACTATCATCTCTCAAGGAGTCTGTCACCACTCCTGATGGCAAGTATGGATTTGTTCAGAGGCTATCCCCACAATCTGCAGCCAACTATAGTTTCAAGGAAGAAGAGGTCTGTCATCCTCCCACTCTCTATTCTTTTTCTTTACGGAACATTTCTTAGAACCTAAGGAAGAAAACAAAATTTACTTACCTTCAAGAGGGAAAATTCTTAGCTCAAACTTGGTTGGACGCAGAAGCTCCAACCAGTCAAGGTGTCAGTTTGTTATTGGTGGATTCACCTTCCTTTTGTCTTAATATTTAATTATGCTAAGTAAATCAAGAATTAAAATATTAAAAAATGATGAAATCACCACTAGAAAACTGACACGTGGCTAAGAATTTTCCCTTCAAGAGAGCAGATGTTACATTCATTAGAAGGGACTAAAACAATCTCATGGTCAGTGGCCACACAGTATGTTTGGGTAATTGGGTCAATTCACAAATGGTCACTGACAAAATGGTTACTTCTTTCTTATTCTTCACTAAAGTTTTGAATAACTAACATAACCGGGTAACCAAGATTGGCCACATAGGCTGTAATAAGCTAAGATTGACAGCTTAATATAACCAAACTCGATACTCGATCCAACTCGAAGTCTCATTACGTGACCTTTTTTTCATTTATTAAGTTGAGTGAGTTGACAAGTTCGTTTAAACAATTTGGACAAAAACCTTTAGGAAGACGGAGGGAGTGATCATATTGTTAAGCATTCGAAGTATCAGTAACTAAGTTAATGAAAAATCAAAGTTCAGTGACAGATTGTTGGTGACCCTTTAAAGTTCAGTGACCAATAATGCAAAAATTGACTCCAAGATGTTCAGAATAAAGGGACCATCTTACATTCACGTTTTTCATTTCTTCTAATCCAAGTCATCATCCCCTTTGTAAATGCAGCTTGTGAAGTGGGACCAACTTAGCCTGGCATCAGCCATGGGACCTGCAGCTGTGGAGCTTCTGGCTACTGGACTTGATGGGTATGCCATTCAAGCAAACCGAGTGGAGGAGCTGTTTGCTAAGATTTGGCCACCACCAAATGTCTAAAACAAACCTGTCTCCATCCATCCATGACCCAGTGGCTAATCAACACTTTCCACAAAGCAATAAGAACTCGAAAAGTCTGCAACTTTGGATCTCAACCCAGATGCTGGAGACCTTGTCATGTACTGTCTTGCCTACTTTCTTCAGGTGCTGCTTTTTGTTCTAATTAACATACTGTAATGTTACTTGCTTGCACTCCGCAGTTGTACATTTCGAGCTGTTCGGATCGATGGATTGCTTTACCTAATAATTTTGAGTGTCTGGTCTGGCTTCTGTTTCCATCAGTTGTGGACTATTTTCCCATCTATGGGCTTTTAGGGTTGGTTTCCCTGGAAAATGGATTCCCAAACCACATGCCAATGCTTCTTCCACGCGAACCATCTCCCCCCAAACTCCTTCACCTAACAGTACTATACTATTTTAAACCCCAACAAACGAGTGTCTAAGCCCCTGTTGAGTCTCAGAATTGCCTGTTCTGAGGAAAAGAAAGACTATTCAATTTGTTAGTCTGGGCAATGAATGTCTTTAATGGTAAGTCTAAATTCCTTATGCATGATACAAACTGAGAGATAAACTCTAATCCAAGCATCCCATTTATAAATCTAAGAAAAAAGATTGAAGCTTTGCAATATTCTCTTTTGATGTGCAAGAAAGTAGGGGGTGTGTGTACTTTTTATTTAATTTTATCTCTCTTAACAATTGGCACAATGTAGCTAAGGAAAATTGATATTCTATTGAGAAATGTCTATTCAAGGAAAGACGTAGCTCGCTCGAGCGACGATTAGAATACGCTTGAACAAAATGAGAGGAACCGAGTAGCTCGAATAAAGTGAGAAAAGAGATCAAGGTTATAATATATTTCAAATTAAATGAGAAGAGTGAACGTAAAGGAGTTTAATTTCAATCCAACAACACAATTTTTGTCACAACTACCTCATTCGGTCATTCCAGGGCCATATTCCTCATTTTGACTTAAATTTATATTTCTTTATTAAAAGGTCCAGTCACCATTTGAATCTTGATAACATTCTATTCTTAAATTAGCGGGAAACGAGGAGAGTCCTAGGTTACCAAGCAAAAGTTTTGTATATATCTTAATTTTCTAAGTGTTTGAGAACCTGTTAAGTTGGGAAGAGTAGTCTCTTCAAGTAATGCCGTAAAATAGAAACATCATTAACAGAAACCAAAATCAAGGCCTTCAATCATATGTTGTGGCAAGCTGTCCCCCAAGCTGCATGTGGATGCATGTCCAGGCAATTGCAATTCAGATCTATATATCCTTAATTCGTAACTAAACAGGGTAAATCATTACGTAGTTAGTTCACTGAATATGGGATCGCTACAAAAATAATATGAATTCAAGAGGTAGAGGATGTCTTCGACCAACAAGAAAGCCAATATACTTATTATCCTCTTTATAGATATGAGATACGATGACTTTCCAATTCATATCCAACAACTCCTGAAATCGGTATATGGTAGTTACATGCTGGTAATCAGTCCGTTCGGTGTTCAGAATTCATAAGTAATTGAACACAGACTCGTCAATATATTGCGTTCCAAACCAACCTAAAATCTTTTAAATGCTCCTCTCAACTCTGTCGGCTAATGTAACATTTTTCTTCGGCCACATTGATTTGCATTTATCAGTTTTGGAAATTATAATTCAGGAGAAACCATTTAAGATTGGACTTTCAAATTTCAATCAATTTCAAGCCTATGTTGTACACGAGATACCGAAGTGATTGGCCACCATTCCCACTAATATTGATATCTGATTGACATGGGGGAAAAAAGGATCCATGATTGATTCATATAAATCCAACACCAAAAACCTCCCCCATTTGGGGTTTCAGTCAGTTCACAATATTCTTTTTTGTGATTCATAAAATAAAATAAAAAATGTGTGTGTTGCAGAATAATTGTGTAGTATTAGCAGTATGGGCAGATACAGATCTGACACGTTTCACTCCTGGCACTATGCCATCTTCAATGATAGAGCTAAACAATTGCAAATCAAATCCTGATACACTGCACACTTCTTGTTTCTGAATACTATTTACGAAAGATGCCTCACCAAAGCCACCGTTATTAGGAATTACAGCTTAATTAATTAGTCTTGTATGAACTAATATAGTTATGTTCAAATCCTTTATGAACCAAGTAATCAACACTAGAATTGCCTTCTTTATAAATGTGGCTAATTAGTTGCCATCCCAATGTTGTGTTTCTAATGCTATTATGCTTGTCGTCTAAAATCGTAAATTAAAATGAATTTTGGTTTAGTGGTCTTTGAACTAATATATTGTAGTTCCTTTCGATTTTAGTGCTCTGCAAATTGATTTCAGCTCATTAGCTTCAGCAAAATTCTAATTTTCAGCCCCTCCAGACCTCCGCACCGATGGTGTGAGGCTGTGAGCATTGGTTTACACTGAATCACTCAATCTGATGCAAAACTCTGTTATTTCAGTTTCATTCTTATTTATTTATTTATTTATTTATTTATTTATTTATCATTAAAGAATGCAGAATCATTTGGGGTGGTGATTTCATTATCTCAAAACCCTCCCTAATCATTAATAACACGAAAAGGGCAGCTCAACGATACTCTCCATCCATCCAAACGGACAAAAGCTTGATTGAAAAGTACCCATTTTCTAATCCTCCAGAAAGTGGAAAAAGGGCAAGAAAATTGTCCACCACAGCTTAGTTTGCATGTGACCTCTGTACACATGAATGGTCGTGAGACACATGTTTGGCTTGGCAATGCTTCCATTTCCCGACCAACAAATTTGGGACTTTGTGGCATTTTCCAATTCGATTATCTCCTCAATAATTCTTCATTTTCTGGCCCCATTACCTAAGCTAAGCCTAGTCATCATAAATACTCATATTATATACTGTACCAAAAAAATTTCATCAGCTCAAAATAATTAACAGAACGACTAATTACCCTCACGTAATCGAACCATCTGTCCACTGATATATACTTCTAATCTAATCTAATCAATAATCCATCAACCAAACCTCCAAAATATTGGCCTCTTGCTAGCTTGAGCTGTATTCAATTCAATTATTGTTACCCCATAATATCATAACGCAGCCACCGGCTCCATGTAGAATCATTGACCCGTTTTTTAATGAGCTGCATGTGTTGTCGGTCGAACCCGTGGCTGAGATTCAAATCAGATGGGCAGCTGAATTCCCACCCTATTTTTGTTTATTAAATGAAAGAAAGAACACACTCATCAGCGTTGGATGCCAAGTAGGGTATAACGTTAATTGCATCTGTCTCTGTTTTCGTTCATGTGATTGCTAGCTAGCTCTGCTGAATCCGGCCAATCTGGGTTTTGCATGTGGAAGGATTATTCAACCACAATAATGCAGTTTAATAACCCAATTTTTGGTCTTTTTTGAAATATTGCACATTCCTATATCATTGATCAAATTCGGACCAAATTTTCAATAATATTATATAAGCTAATTATACACTAAGTTATAGTTTGGAGAGTGCAATAACATGTCCATCTAAATTAGTCGTGCGAAGGATTTTCTTCTATCAATCCACAAACATGCAACAACACAAGATCGAACTCGTGTCACTAAGATTCAACACACAAAACTTAATGACTCTTACTGTGTACTTTCTCACTCAAAGATTTTACAATTGTAATGTTTAATATTTACCTTCAATTTCAATAGACGGTGAAATTTGCTACAAAGTTATTAATATGAAGATCATGGATGAAGTGAACACACAAAAAAAAAAAAAAAACGTCTAACTAATAAATGGAACACATATAGACTTAGTTTTAAGATATTGCTTAACATATTGAATTAGCTAAGCCATCGTAAATTCGTGATAAGGTGTGTTCGTAACTGTCTTCTTAAATCCTAACTAGCAATCAGAGCATATTAAAAAGCATATATAATTCCTAGTGGCCAATCCATAAGTAAGAGCGAAGAGTAGGGTTGGCAACGGGGCGGATCGGGGACGGGTAGCTAGTTCCCGTTACCCATCCGTCAAGGCTGACGGATTTCCCCGTCCCCGTCCCCGTCCCTTTGTCGGGGCGCGTTTGGTTTCCGTCACCGTCCCCAGACGGATTCGGGTAAACCACGGATCACCACGGATCCTGAGAAAAATACAAAAAAAGGAAAAACCTAATAAAAAATTCCTGAAATTCAAACTTCAAAGTACCTTGATGTTCAAGGCACATAAATTCAAAACACAAAAGAGAAGATCTGGGGCTGTAACCCTCCCACCACCCAACACCCAGATCTTCATTGTTCAAACAATGAAACAAAAGTGATAGGTTGCAGCAACCAAACAAGCTGCTGCAACCAAAACCCACCACCCAAAACCCATATAACATGTTCTTCACTACACTAGTGTTCAAGTTCAAAACTCAAAAGGAAGAGATAAAAAACAAAGGCAGACAGCCCCAATAACGTCATCCATAAATCGAACTAAAACCTATACTAATAGCACACACGAGTTCCTTTGATCTTTTCTTCCAAAAAGTAAGCAACACTATGCTGCTGGAAACCAACTCAACACTCAACAGCAGCATTCATCCTTGAAAAATGAAAAGCAATCACTGCAAGAAACAGAGTAGCAAACACAGTTAGATAAGTGAAAGTCACTTTTAAATTGAACAAGTTAAAAGGCTCAAGTCTAGCTCAATACCTTGAACCTTTCATTGCATTGAACAAATCAGTCGTCTAGGGATATTAGATGCTTCCTCATCACAAGTCCCCCCTGAACTGTAAGAATAAAAAATTACAGTTAGAGATTGAAACTATCAAACTAAGTACCAATCTAAATTGAACTAATTACCAGCTTCGTCTTGATCTTCAGTACTGGAATCTGAAATTGCTAGAGCAGAGAACACCCCTTCCATTGCCTCTACAGCAGCCTTCGATGATTCTGCAGATTGAAGAAAACAATGAAAAAGACAATTAATATTCAATCAAGTTAACATTTTAATGAAAAAGACAAGTAATTGCAGATTACCTTGTTGCATTTCCTCCATAATCCAACTTCTGGTACACATCATTGCCTCTATTGTATCATAGTGCAATCTACTCCGATGAGGGTCTATTAACCTCCCACCAGAGCTAAAAGCAGATTCAGAAGCCACTGATGTAATTGGTATGGCCAAGAAATCCCTTGCAATTGCTTGCAAAGTGGGGTACTTAAGGCCATTCAGTTTCCACCACATCAGTATATCAAAGTCAGGAGACCTTTTAGGAATCAGTTCCTCAAGAAGATAGTGATCCAGTTCAGTATGGACCAGAGTTGCTTTGCTTTTTTTCCTCCGACTCACAAACAGTTCAAAATCAAGATCATCATTTGCAGGAGTAGAAGAACTATCATAAGCAGTTGAAGAACCAGAATTGTTCCTCTCAGACTTGGTTTGGTAATCAAGCACCAAACCACAAATACATTGCTTAATCTTATCAGCCACCAAGTCAGTATTAGTACTGCCACACTTAGCAGCATAATACTCAATCACATGCAACTTGTATCTAGGATCAAGAACCACTGACACAGCGAGAACCAAGTGTATATCATCCCAATACTTAGAAAATTTCTCCCACATACTCTCAGCCATAGCCGAGATAAGAGAATTGGTATCAGCACACCATTCCAACAATTTCAGTCTCAGATCACAAACCTTGGGGAAAAACAAATTAGCAGTGGGATACTTGCTGCCAGAAAACAGCTTTGTGATCTCACTGAAAATTTCCAGCTTATCAATGACCATAGCAGCAAACTCCCAGTGCATACTAGTAGGGACAGTGGTGTATTGACTATCCCACTGCCTCAAACGAGAGAAAACATCTCTATACACAATGGCCGAAGAGAGGCTAAAAATAACTAAATAGGATTTTTTAACAACTTCTCATAATTGAATCTAAATCTTTGAAGGAAAGATGAGGCTATTATTTACTTTTCTATATTCCTAACTTATTAAATACCCATATTATAATTTGATATCAAATATTAACAAAAATCGTAGTTCACTTAAACTACACTTAACTCCATCACTGAAATTTTCTATCTAATTCTAGTAGATCGAGCTAGGATGACCTTTGGTATGCTGGTAGTGGTAAGGACAATTGAATTATGAAAAACTAGGAGAGTGACAATAACACAACTTGAGCAGGGACCAAAGCCAAATTTGCAATGATATGATAGGATGTAGGTGCCAAGTCATAATTACTTGGACATGCCGACGTGGCAAATATCAAAATACCCACCTCTCCCCAAATAATTCATCATTAATGTCGACTTCAATTTTGTGCTGGACAAAATTTGGCCAACACAGTCTGATCTGGCCTTCTCATCACAAACCCTTCTCCCCAAAAACAAAAAAACACAAATTATCAGAGAAAAAAAAGGAAAAAGGAATTGGTGGCTTTGGAAGATCAATAGGTCACACTCAGTACCTGACTCAGCATTTTTTGGACTAATTGTTGGAGAGAAAGGGAAAGAAAGCAGTTCCTTTGCAAACAGTTAACTACTTCATTTGTCCAAACTAATTATAATTATCCAACAAAATAAACTCAAGTAAGTTTAGAGAGAAAGGGTTTGAATTTCCGGTGTTGTCGTGTAACTACTAGTTTCCTTCGGTTTGGATATCTAGAATGATCACCCACTTAATTGTCATTATCATCCTTGATTACTTTTCATTAATCAATGTGATGATTCTGCATTTCTGATCCCTCCGGCCTTAGTCGTGGTTTAATGGCTACAGACTTGTCTTAACTTATTTATTTACTTTTGGGAGCTAGAGAATTGTCTTAGCTGGACTTCAAATCTCTTGGGTAATTAAAAAAATACTAATCCGAATAGATGTTTCGTGTCAACAATTTTTGTTTGAATTTTCATGAATGTATGGTTTCGTGTCAATAGTAGTTAACGTCCTTTTGGGTACTGTCTTTCTTCCTTAACCAGTTTAGGTAAATGCCAATGATAAATGAATATAATTTCTTAAAAAGGGTTGATTAACCATTTCTGGTCTCACACTGTGATGCAGAAACTACGCAAGCTGAGGTGGTGACCATCACCAATTGTATCTGAAAAAAGGTTATAGTTTCATTGAATGATCATTGTGAAAAGGTTGCAAGTGAATTTGATTGTCATTACTAAAATAGGATAGGCATAAGTATCATACTTATCTAATTTTAATTTTTCGATTCACGATCGAATGCTAACGATGATTATAAATGTTTACGAATACGCTTGCTCACCCTATCGAGAATCATTTAAGATGTGTTAACAAATTAATTAATTTAAGTTAACAAGACAGAACCCAAAAATCCATAACTGAAATGCTACTCATGTGTTTACGTGTAAGAAGTACAAATTTTGAAAATTCTAATTGACACGCCATCAGTTTTAGGCTTTTAGGTCTCAGTTCTGCTGCTGTGCAAGTTTGAGATTCTTTGGCTATAGAAGTATTTTGTAATCTTTGAACACAAGGCTTTTCTTCGAGAAAAACAAGATGAACTAGTCATTTTGCGCCCAAGAAAGATAAAAACCATTCTTTGCTCTAATTTGGGAACCTAGTCACCTATATTGTTTTTATTACGGAACCCCCCAAATTAATTTAAATATGAAAGTTGTGAAACTAGCTAACATTTCAATTTGATTTGCATCTTATAATATATAAGTGACTGAATTAGTATTAATTATTCTCCTTTTGCATTATGCTTATTGCTTAATTCCCTTTATTATAAGGCCTATCCAATATTTAATTGATATGAACTTATTAACTAATTATTTGTCCTAATCATTTGCCCCTTTTTATCTCATTACTGCAGTAAGGGTCATCTACTAGTTTTTTTTGCTAAGGTTGTGGATGCGTCAAACTGCACACGAGCATCTCTACGTTCCATTCAGGAAAAAGTCATTCCACATTCGGCTCATTTACTAACGACTTGAGCTTGAACTAAACCTTTTTCAACTCACAAGCAAATTTGACTTGGTGAATCATTGAACTCAACTCGTGATTTGGCTCATTTTAAGTTCATGAGCTTTCTCGAGACTGTGGCTAGCAAACCAGCTCTACTAACGACTTATAGGGAAATCCATCTATAACTTGGCTTATAGATAATTTTTAGGTTGGTTAGATTGTATATATATGATGATTTTAGACTTAACTACACGGAAAAGTGTCATTTTTAATTGAAAGAGAAACTATGTATCAGAGATTGGTTATATACGAATTACGATTAAATAACATGACGCGACCTAGCTAAAATTTATGAACTAAATAGTATGATACCAGCAGAGTATATAAACCTGTGATAAATCAGTGGTGAAAATTTAATTATTATTCTTTCCTTTCATCATATTAATCATATACATGACACACAAATATTAGAAAAAATTTAATTTATAAATCATTTTGAGTTCTGTTTAAATGTGCAATCATTTAGGCTCGTAAACAAGTAAAGCTCATGAACTGGTTGATGAACGTAGGTTGTGGCCTCAACAATGGGTTGACCTCGAGTCGACAGTGATCCAACATTTTAGTACAAGGCGGCTTATATTTTTTAACGAGCTCAATCCAAAATACAATAAAACTCAACTCAACTTATTTGCAACCCAATATATCAATATCCACCCGCTGTTGCCCATTTTCATTCTCAGTCTAACGCATAACAAACCTAATGAAGTGGGGAAGTAAGAGCCACTAGCCAGCCACTGTTATCAAACTCACGTGGAAATTGTGTGCTTTAACTGCTTAATTAGGCCCCTCCCTCCCTCCACCCACCAACGTTCCAACCGCTCCAATCAAATTTTCCCATTTGCCCAAAGAGAGGCTTTAACTTTGCAACCACAAACTTATTTTACGAGAGTTTTGCTTTTATGATCTCTTTTTTTCCGTATGAGAAATCATAATCTGAGTAGATTATGTGTAGTTTTCAAGATACACAACCGATGTTGAGTCATTGTTACGGATACAAAAACTTGAACAAGTGTATTGCTCATCAAAATACTCAATCTTAAGTTCATATCTTGTTAGTTTGGTGAGAACGTGTCAATGAAGTTAAAGGCTGTTTTATTTTGACACGAGACCAATTGTACCATACGAAGATTATAACTTTCCATTGATGGCATATGTCAACTATATCAACTTCCCTGTAATTACCAAAAACAACAAAAACCTATCTTCACATAATAATTTCGGCAAATCATTGAAGGACAATCTGGTTCTTGTAACGACCCGAGATGGATAATAGTTATTATCATTTCAATGTTTAATTTTTTTTTATACAGAGTGATTGCGAAGACCACGTATTTATATAATTCTATTAACGAGTTTATTAGATATGCATTATGTTCCATTAATTTTACACATTCCTTAGGCATCATAATAAGAAAAAAACATTAATGCTTTGAAGGAAAATTCACACTTGGGACAAAAAATAAAATGTTAGCTATTACCAAAAAAAAAAAATGTTAGCTCATCATTCATAAATGTAATGTAAGTAAACGTCATGAGAGAAGATTCACTTCCCTTAATCATCTTTGCTTTTCCTTAATTATAATAATTAATTATCAATTGTATACTAATCCGGTTCCCCCAGACTACGAAACAATCACAGTCCAACACAACACCGCCCAAAGAGCAGGAATTTCATTTTTTATAATAACTAAATTTCCTTTATCTCTTTTAATTTTCTGTTTCTCTCCGACATCGAAAAAGGAAAAAAGAAATTTAAAAAACAGGCTTCCCCTGTATAAAAGCAGAGAGCCCTCGTTAAAGTTTTCCCAACTCAACACAGAAAACAACCCTCCGCCGTGTTCTCCTCCGTCTCTCTTTCTCTCTCTCTGTATCTTTCCCCGGCGCAAAATTTAATTCCGTTCTCTTTATGGGAGACCACAATCAGCCTTTCCTGCCGGTCTCCGGCGACCCAGAATGCGCTCCGGTACTAGGCGACGACGTCGTCGTCGACGGCGCCCTCCACCGGCCGCAGCCGGGATCCACTAAGAGTAAGCTGCTTCTCGCCGTGTTCAGCGGGATTTTCGTGGTCTGCTTGATCCTCGCAGGAGGCTACGATAAATCCGGCGTCGTTAAGGTCGCCCAATTGGGAGGCGTTGATGAGCTGGGTGTGGGCCCAATTGAGATGCCAGCTGGAAGTACGATTGTTAGGCCGGCTGTTTCTCGTGGGAAATCCGCCGGTGTGTCGGAGAAGGCTAATTTTTCGCCGGAGCAATTGCTCGGCGGCGGGGAAGTAATCGGTGACGGGCTGACGGAGGACTTCCCGTGGAACAACAGCATGCTGTCCTGGCAGAGGACGGCGTTCCACTTCCAACCGGAGAAGAATTGGATGAACGGTACCGTTTTACTTTTCTCCCTATTTTTCTCCGTTATTTTTTTCCCCCGTTTAAAAAGCTTTTTTAATAATTAAAATGTGAAGAAAGATGGAAAGCGCTGGATTGGCCATTTTCCTTGGTTTTCTTGATTCCTTCTCCCTCCCTTGATCTCTTGAGTTAAAATTCCATTTGTTTATTGCTTGGCTGGCGTTATGGGCTAGAAAGTGGCCACACTTTTGGATTCGATCTACACTAATCTCATTTGATGGGATTCTTTTAAGATATCTACAAGTCAATCAAGGAAATGCGTGACAGATCAAGGGATAGTTTAGCTCCTCTTATTATAGCATGATCTAATGTTTGTTGATGTGGTTGAATTGTGAGTCACGTATTAGGTGCACATCATAATAATCTCATACATGATATTTTCTACATAAATTTAACGAGTAAGAATTATGAAATGTGCAATCCAATTGCATCAATAAATACGGATGTCTATACCCATTCTGAGTCATGGCAAAAACATTCACTTCATCCTACCAACTCTAACCCTTAAAAATGTATAAACATTTTGAACAGAAACTCTAATCTAAAGTTTCCGTAAGTAGTAAATTTTTATGGGAAAAATATGATCTCTCATAAATACGTGTTCAATTTGGGGTTTAATTAAGTAGTTGCCTTTTAGTTGTCTACAAAATCTATATTCCTATAGTGTCCCAATATTATAAAAATAAGAGGCCAGCCCTTTTCTGTTGGTCATAATCATCGTCATCATATATCTCCTTTGCTTTATCACAATTTTAAAGGAAAGAATTGGTCTGGCTCACAGGCTAGGTCCTACAGCAAACTTTGGCTCCAGCTCTTCATCAGTGTTTCCTTTATCTTCTTTTAATGTTTAATTTAAAAGTGTATATTAGCATTACAAATGACTATTACCGATTACTAATGATCTTTCCTTTGCCTTCTCCACGGTCGCAATTCTTGGATCGGCTTCAGATCCCAACGGTCCACTCTTTTACAAAGGATGGTACCACTTCTTCTACCAGTACAACCCAAACGCCGCCGTTTGGGGCGACATCGTATGGGGCCACGCCGTCTCCCGCGACATGATCCACTGGCTCCACCTCCCTTTAGCCATGGTGGCGGACCAATGGTACGACGTCCAGGGCGTCTGGACCGGGTCCGCGACCATCCTCCCCGACGGAAAGGTCATGATGCTCTATACCGGTTCGACCAACGAGTCGGTCCAGGTCCAGAACCTGGCCTACCCGGCCAACCACGACGACCCGCTCCTCCTCGACTGGGTCAAACACCCGGGCAACCCGGTCCTCGTTCCACCACCGGGTATCCACCACAAGGACTTCCGCGACCCGACCACCGCGTGGAAGACCTCTGAGGGAAAGTGGAGGATCACGATCGGTTCCAAAGTCAACAAAACCGGAATCGCCCTGATCTACGACACCGAGGATTTCATCAATTTCGAGCTCAAGGAAGGGTTCCTCCATGGTGTTCCGGGTACCGGAATGTGGGAATGTGTCGATTTTTACCCTGTGGCAGTCGCCGGTGGCAACGGGCTTGACACTTCCGTCAACGGCGCCGGAGTTAGGCACGTGGTGAAGGCGAGTTTGGACGATGATCGACATGATTACTATGCGATTGGGACTTACGACGAGGAGGCCGGGAAATGGTACCCCGATAATCCGGCGATTGATGTCGGAATTGGGATTAGGTACGATTACGGTATCTTCTACGCTTCGAAGACATTCTTTGACCAGAGCAAGCAGAGGAGGGTTCTTTGGGGCTGGATTGGTGAATGGGATAGTGAGGCTGCTGATGTTAGAAAGGGATGGGCTTCTCTTCAGGTAATAAACCTAAACTTAATTTGGGAAACCCTCGAATTTCTGTGGGTTGAATTTTGATGCAGACACTTATTGAACCTCCATTAATTGAATGCAGGGCATGCCAAGGACGGTTGTTCTTGATACGAAAACAGGGAGCAATCTGCTTCAATGGCCGGTAGTAGAATCAGAGAGCTTGAGATTGAGAAGCAAGGAGTTCAAGAATGTTGTAGCTAAGCCTGGTGCGGTTGTTCCAATCAAGCTTGAAGCAGCCACACAGGTTTGTTTGTCATAATGTGTAACGAATGTGACTAGTTACGGTACAAAAATTTGTTTAACTTACTAGACAAACACTTCTGTTTTCATGAATGCAGCTAGACATAGTCGCGGAGTTCGAGCTCGACAAAGAGGCGGTAGAGAGAGCAGTCGAGTCCGACGAGGAGTTCAAGTGCAGCAGCAGCAAAGGTGCAGCTCACCGTGGCGCATTGGGACCATTTGGTCTTCTGGTTCTCTCGGAAGAGACTCTCAGCGAGCAAACCCCTGTATATTTCTATGTCGTCAAGGGGAAGAACGCAACTTTAAGGACTTACTTCTGCGCTGACCAATCTAGGTAACATGATGCTTCAACATTGCTTCCTTGCTGCTAGTTACATATGGTTTTCCATGGTTGTGCTGAATGTAATGTATTTCAGGTCGTCTCTGGCGAACGATGTGAACAAGCAAATCTATGGGAGCTATGTACCAGTGCTAACAGGGGAGAAGTTTGCGGTTAGGATGTTGGTAGATCATTCGATTATCGAGAGCTTTGCACAAGGTGGGAGGTCTGTTATTACGTCGAGAGTTTATCCAACGAAGGCGATTTATGGAGCAGCTAGGCTGTTTTTGTTCAACAATGGGACAGAGGCTGGTGTCACAGCTTCTCTTAAGGTTTGGCAAATGAATTCGGCATTCATCCGGCCATTTCCAAACCTGTAGATGGATATGATTCAATGAGGAAGAAGCCCAACAACAACAACAAAAAAAGGTGATAAGAGGAAGATAAGTTGGTGATCCGCTATGATTGCAAGGTGGGTTAAATTTGGATGTGTGATTGTTTTGTTCTTTGGGATGAAGGGGGGATGTGAGCTTGTTGTAAGTAAAAAAGAGAGAGGGGTTGTAATTGTGATTGGGTGATTGATTCCCAATTTCCCAATGAGATCGGCATGAAGGATCTTGCATCTCCCTAATCAGTCTCAGATCAAATTGTTGATTTGCGATATTTGGTTCAAGATCCTCAGGTTTCTTTATGTTCTTTTTAGTTTGAGTTTCATAATATGATGTATAATGTTTCGGGATTTTTATGGCGTCGATTATATCGATGTCATTACTGAAATCAATTGACGTCATTTTTATTTGTGATGATTCTAAAAAATTTAAATTCTATAAACATTATGTTGAAACGAACTGTAATTGTGTTTGGAGAAGTCTAATTGGCACTAAATATGAGATAGCGGATGCATTTCGGTGGAAGGTTGAGGGCAGAAGCAAAATATGCATTTGAAATGGTTTCTGCCAACTTGGCAAACCTTAATTTACCCTTAATTATTAACCCTCTGGATTCAGTGGCTACTGAAGACATCCTAATCGACGAGGATTCTTGTTCATGGAACTATGAGAAACTTCAAGATCTTTTTACTATGAATGACTAGTTGGCTATCTTTTACTTTGTTTCTTGGGGTTTTAATGAAAAATTGAGTATTTAGTATTTACTCAAGTTTTCCTTCTAAACTAAATACCCATTGAATCGACTTGCCTCGATCCACATCCTATAATAAATTATTCGATCTGGACCTAACCTACTACGTAACGGATATGGATATCGAGATACCCGCTCGAAGCTGCCCTTGCCATTCCTGGTGAAAGACATGCTTCTTTAAACAAATTTGTACTTTTTCTATTCAAACTAAGGTTTGTTTTTTTTTTACCTTTTTTTCTTATTACCGGAGCCATGCTTTTCGGAGAAACTCTTAGATGGGAACGGCGGCCAACTTGGGCTCTACTATGAAGACGATGCAAAAATGTCACTGATTAGTATGAGCTGAAGTTGGGCCTTAAAATAACTGTGCGAACTAGGCCTGAGATCGATGTTGGAAATTTCTTGAATTTGTCAGGCCTCTTTGGCCCAGTAAGAACAGTAGGCCCAACCTTCGTCTAAGTTGTTGTTCTACGAAATCTAGAAATCTGCCTCTGAAGTATTCTTCGAGTTCCATACGCAGATACGCTCTTTACTTGCGTAGTGAGATAAGAAATTACATTTACCGAGATGAAGGTAGAAGAAGAACCGAGAAGATGGCATGTAAATAATGACAGTGGATTAGATTAGGTTAGTGGGAACATGAATGATAACGGCCAGTAGTTGTATAATGATTGAGTTTTCCCCAACCAAGTAATGATAAAAAGGACAAACAAAAAGCAGAGAAAATATGCTCCATCGCCGGAACCAGAATGTATAGCGCCTGCATTGCCGGGAATTCCAATAGTACACAAACACAATTAATCTTGGGATTTGCTTATTTCACAGGCAGTGGGAATGTGTTTTGAGAGTTTGACACTCTTGAATATCCTTCTTTCCTTCCTTCATGATTGTATGGCATTTTGTCTTGTGGGTGGGAATGGGATGCGCTGATGGAAATGGAAGCATTATGAATGCAATTTTCATCAAGAAGAAAAAGAAACAATAACAAAATCAGAATAACTCCATCACTTGCTTGCTCCGTCACTTGCTTGGAGTTTCTAGAGGTTATTAATTAACGGAGATTCGCTCTATTATTTTTCTAGTCTGTCAATTTGGATATCGGAGGAGTGTATTTCAACTAGACTCCAAAGAACACAACTCTTGAAAGCATTGGAATAAGAACAATCACATTGGCATACTAGCTCTGTACCGTTGTACTTTAGTTTCACAGTTTGGATTTCTATATATATAGAGAGAGCAAATTTTTTTGGCCAATTGTTTGATTTATATGGGCTTATTTTCCCCTTTTTTGAAGACTTATTGTAACATTTCGAACTTTTTCCCGACGAAGATATTGTTGATTTTGGGCATCGACCCTCACGGTTTTCGATTTGGGGTGCAATTCAAGGTGACTTCCCATAAGATCACCTATTCTTGTTGTACTCCAAACTGAACACGTTTAACTTTGGAGTTCTCACAAGAACTCCTCTATTTCACCCCAAAATGTGTCTTGTCAATTAAGGTCGGTTTCCTACTTACTTATGAACCATGGATTTCTCCAGTGCTTTATCGATGTGAGATTTGTCTAAGGTATTAGGCTTTATCTTTGCTCTTTAATTTTAAATTTCGATACAAATACCGACTATAGTTTCTATTTCTCCTGATCTTATTATTTTGAATTATGAAATAGTGCTGCTTTGAATCCGTTTCCAATAAAGGAGAAAACAGGGAGAAAGAGGGAGTGAGACAACCAAGATGGAATGGAATCGCAAATTGATGGAATGCGTTAGGGTGGATACTAGTTTTTTAGTAACCATTGTGGCTACTTATATCTAAACCCTTCATTAGCTCTATTTTTTCCTTTTTTTAAAATGACGGTCAAGATTAAATTAAGGATAATTTGGGAATCAAAATATTATCACACCAGATTATTACCTATATTTATAACCTACCTTTTCCAACCCTACCTCTACCCTCTCCACCCCTCCCACTTCCCGCCGCCCTCACCCTCACCCCCCCCCCCCTCTCTTCCACTCTCTCCCACCCTACCATCCGCCCACCTCCTCTGATCCCTCCCTCACTCCCTCTCCAATTTTGGTTGTTCTTGTGCATTTCCGCCGGACAAACAAGCCAAGTCCGGCGCCGCCCCGTCAACCAGTGGCTAGCGGAGGAACTACAGCTAGCAATCTTGTCCAGGCTGCCGACCCCTGCCTCCATCGGAATGGTATGTTTTTTTTTTAAATGGTAGTCATTTTTTTTCAGTAGTGATTTTTTTTTAAATGGTAGTCATTTTTTTCGTAGTGGTAGTGTTATTGTCGTATTGGTATAGTTTTTGTCGCATTGGTATTATTTTTGTCGCATTGGTATTGATTTTATCGCATTGGTATTGATTTTGTTACATTGGTATTGATTTTGTCGCATTGGTAGTGATTAAATCTGCAATGGTATTGATGTTTTGTGAAATGGTAGTGTTTTTATTTCTTGAATGGTATTGATGTTTTGTGAAATGGTAGTGTTTTTATTTCTTGAATGGTATTGATGTTTTGTGAAATGGTAGTGTTTTTATTTCTTGAATGGTAGTTTTCGTGTAATGGTATAAATTTATTTCTGCAATGGTAGTTTTCGTATAATGGTATAGATTTATTTCTGCAATGGTATTGATATTTTTCAAAGTGGTAGTGTTTGTCTAATGGATTGGTACTGATTTTGTTTTTTTTTTTTTTTTTTGCAGAAAGATTGAGAAAAATATGGAAAGGAAATCTGGCTGGAGATTACGGAAGTGAGAGAAAGAGAGATTTTTAATGAATAGATTTTTGTAACTACCTTAAATGTAATTTATTAAAAAATTAATTAATATAATTTATTTTTCCATATCCAATTTACCCTTAGTAACCACGGTGATTACTACTTTTGTAGTAATCACCGTAACCTGTCCCGCAAATTGATTGGTTGATAAGGGAAAAGGCCGAAAGCAAAATGGAGCGGTGTGCCAGGCTGGGCTTTGGAGATGGCCGTTGGAGTTGGAAAAGGAAAGGTTGGATTTGGATATACCCTCCCTAATAATGAAGGGCGTAGTGCCATGTTCCTCCCAATTTGCTGCGCTGTGTTATCCCCACTCCCTACCCTACACAAAATGTAAGCATGCAAAGAATGGAATGGCGAGTTATATAGTTGGGTTTACGCAACATGCATGTAGGGCTATCGGCCAGAGTCATTCATTAAGGGAAAGGAGACAACCTGGGATCGAGTTGGAAACCCACCACTCCATATATGCTCTCTGTTCTTTTGTTTCTAACCCTTGTCTCTATCACTAATTACCTCGCTTATCCTTGGCACCCTCGTGAGTAGTGGACTAGATTAGACAAGAAACTATGTCCCTTCAAGTGCTTTTGAGCTCTCACTATAGAGTCTTTGCCCTTGGGCCAGTATGTGTGGCATTAGGGGTGGCTATACGGTCCGGTCCGGTTAAATTGGTCCAAATAGATGCATAGGTAGAGTCAATTAGATGCACAGGTAGAGTCAATTGTATTTTGGTCGGTTTAAGGTCTGTAGAATTTGATGATGCAGAAGGAAACGAGCACACAACACAAGAGTTTTTACGTGGTATCCTCGATCGATTGATTGATCGAGACTAATCCACAGTGAGCTCATAAGAGCTCACGGCTGATCTCTTATTAGGATTACATCTTGACGGCTTGCTATCACACAAGTCGATAGCTAAGCTTATATAGATAGACTTAGGGTTAAAATCCTAATCCAACGAATCAGACGAGGCCCAACAAGGCCCAATACTAACACGGTTTAAGTAACCACAACAAGGTCGATTAGAATTTTACGTTAGCGTCTATATATAATCGTTTACCTATTTCGTCAGGATAATTAATGAACAATTATCAAAGTATGGTCATTTTATCTCAATCTCCTTCTCCAATTCCTAATCTCTATTCTTCCTCCAAATCTCAAATATCGTATTCCCAATTCCGAATCTAGTCATCTCTACCCATCATCCTTCCATCATTGAGCTAGCCTTGTCGTACGTGCTCAAATGCAAGGTGGTTGAGCTACTTGTGAGCTCTATATTATTTGTTCTTTGTGTTTGTTATTGAATCTCATTGTTATTGTTAGGGGCAATTTTTTGTTACTAAATGAATCGAGAATTAACCGTGTAAAATTCATTGTTAAATGAAATCTTGTGTTTGGTAATGTCATATTCAAATTTTTAGAAATAAAATGAATTGCAGTGTATAATTCATTATCAAATGAATTCTTGTGTTTGATATGTCATATGTATAAGTAATTTAGTTAATAAAAGAGGATAATTATGTCATTTTATTATAATTAGTAAATACTTGTGGAATTCATTTGGACATTCCATCTCAATTCCTCAGAATTGCTAAAACTAGTACCAATTCCATAGAATTCAAAATTTAGAATTGAAAATGAATTCTTTTAAATACCAAACACAAAAATATTTCATTTCTTAAATGAATTTCTCAAAATTTATGGAATTCATTTATAACAACTTACATTCTCAATCATACTTACACTAAGCATAAACATTGCATTTGAAAACATAATATGTAAGATAAATCATAAATGATTTACCAACCCGCTCAATTTTAACTTATAAAATTTAGAAAGCGAAAGTAAATTGACTCATTACTATTTATTTCTGTTATTCCTATGATCCCATCCCAACAGATAACCTCCAACAATCTCTGCACTCTCCCCGCTCCCCCAGAAAAGAACCCCTTCTTTTTATAAAAAGGATAAAGGAAAACAGCAGTCAACTACACCTAAAATACTTGCAAACAAAGATACGTTGTAAGAACCAGCATGCCGCATTAACATTTACCCAGAACCAACCAGCAACATGCTTGTTCTTTGTGAATAATTCGGATATGATCCCTAGATTTGTTAAGTTATACTTTTGGTTACGAATAGCGTTTGTTTCTAACTAACACAGTTGTATTGTATAATAGTCAAATACGACACTCGTATTACATAACCAATCACAATTATTTCTGGAAATTCATAATGCACAACAACATTTAAACATGTTTTTATTCGATATGGGAAGGGAATTAGGGATTGAGTTTGCAAATTGGGAATACAGTTTGGGAACTGACGAGGAAGAAGGAACAAGGCAAAGTATGAGTTCCGTCCTTCTTCTCGTGTAAATGTGGGCTTAAAATAGAGAGAAGTCCAATCACACAGTTCTTAATAAAAACAAGAGAATGGACTTTAAGCCTAACAACTCAACCAAAACAACAAAAACACGAGAGGAATGAGTGCTTTTTCGTTCTTCCAATTCCTGAAGTCGAACAGAAAGCAGAGAAGCAACTGAAAAGAGATGGAACACAGAGGCAGTTTTAACGTGGTTCACTCAACAATGATTATGTCCACGTCCCGAATAGTCCACAGTCCACACCATAACCGAGAGACACTAACTCTGTTTACAGTCACTCTAAGTCTCAGAGAACCTATACCCCTGGAGATGAATTCCCTTTTACCAAGAATAAGCCCCACACCACTTTTCTTTTATGTAAAAGTTATATTGAGAAGTTTGGAAATGCTGGATATATCGGAGAGACAAGCTAGCTGTTGAAAAACCTAGCCATTAGATGATTGAGAGTGATTGCAGCAACCTTTCCTTATTTGAAGACTTTCCTTGGTTGGATTGCTAGCTCTGATCTCGCCCAATACATGTGTCACTAATAAATTCAGCAAAAAGTCAATAATCAGGATTTTACATCGTGACTATATTAAAGTGTAATGATTTAATGTTACATGATCTTCTCGGGCCTCGATGGGTTAGAGGATTTGCTGTAAGGTTAGGATGCACAATAAACATAAGGGACATGGATCTCCCACATGGAAGTGAGCATCTGGCAAATCACATCAATGTATAAATGAAGGTTGAATGTGTGAGATATGCCTGCTTGCTAAGTTAAGCACAATACCCACATAGGTGATGCGATTAGAAGGGATCAACAAAATTATATAAGATAATGATGTAGTACACCATTATTGAAAATGATCACATATAAAAAGGTAAGCAACCCAATACATTTAACTGATTAACTTATAAGCTAGGAAATTTTCTCCATAATAAACTTCTGTTGATTTGCGAGTGACGGAAAATGAAGATGGAAAGTACGTAAGTGGAAACTTTAGGGATCTAAAGTAGCATCTGAAAACTATAAGGATCAAATATTGCCTCCAATAACTCAAGGTTTCTTTCTGTAACTTTCCGATTTAATAACATTTACGAAAAGGAGGTTGGCTTGGTGTATTATTAATAAAAATTTTATTACTACTACATTGTCGATGAGTGAACTGGCTAATGGCTGTCATTTTCATTTTTTCCCCTTATTCTTCTCATCAATTCCCGTAAGCCACAAAAATGGAAAATGAAAAATCCAGTTGCCTTGCCTCTCTCTCTCTCTCCCTCAAGCTCGTGCTAACACTGTCAATAATAAGACTGGGAACCGACAAATGTCCAAGAACCAATATCCGCGTCTGCCCCCAAATTCATACTACTGTGCTTACGCTTTTCACACACTCTCATCCAATTCTTCATTTCTTAACCAAACCCTCCCCTCCCAATAAAAAACAAACTACCCAATCGTCAAAGTAGCCGTTCCTCTATCTGTCTCTCTCTGAGCTTCTAGCTGCTTCTCTGTCTTCTTCTACTTCCTCTGCTTTCCTGCTCTGCTTCCTATAGCTGGAAATTATGTAAAGAAAAGTCTTAAGAACAAGCCTCAAGCTCAAGCTAATTTCTGGGGTTCGTTTATTTAGCAGCAGAGAAGAGAGAGGGAAATGGCTATGTGCAGGGTTTTTGCCGTTGTGTTCCTTGTCTACATTGGATTGCTAGTGAGCTTATGCTCAGCTGGAGATCCATACGTTTTCTACAACTTTGAGGTCTCTTACATTACTGCTTCACCTCTTGGCGAGCCTCAGCAGGTTAGTTTCCCCCCCTACTCTTTTAGATCTTTCTGTTTTTCCTTTGCCCCCTTTCTTTCTCTTTTGCTACATCACTCATTTCCACTTTACCCTTGGCCTTCGATTCTGCTCAAGTTCGTTTCTTTTGAGTACTGGGTATGCTTTAGATTGTCTAAAGTTTCCGCCTTTATATCCAGATCTGCTAAATTTGGTTCCACACTCACCGCCCAAGCTTCAATGTTACTGATTCTGAGCTTATTTTAGTAGCAAAGGTTTTAACATTTTGTGTTTTTTTTTTTTGCTGCAGGTTATTGCTGTAAATGGCAAGTTCCCTGGCCCTATTGTAAATGTGACCACCAACGACAACGTGGTTATCAATGTTAGGAACAAATTGGATGAGCACCTCCTGCTGCATTGGTAGGAAACCCTTTCCCTTTGTCTAGTGGGTTCTCAATTTCTGTTGTAATGTCGGATTCTAGTATTAAAATATGAGGAAGTGAGCATGTTATCTTGTTTTCGTGATTAGGTCTGGAATTCAGCAGAGGAGAAGCTCATGGCAAGATGGGCTTCCTGGCACAAACTGCCCAATTCCACCAAAGTGGAACTGGACTTATCAGTTTCAGGTCAAAGATCAGGTTGGGAGCTTCTTCTACTTCCCTTCGCTCCACATGCAGAGATCTTCTGGTGGATTTGGAAGCTTCATTATCAACAACCGAGCCGTTATCCCGATTCCTTTCAATACTCCGGATGGAGACATTGTCATTATGATTGGTGATTGGTACAAGAGGAATCACACGGTGAGTGATTGTTTAAGTTTTGGAAGAAGAATTCGTAGTTGGCTTCTTGGTTAAGATGCTGACAGAACTCTTTTGATTGTAGGCTTTGAGGAGGGCCCTTGATGCAGGGAGAGATCTGGGGATGCCTGATGGAGTTCTTATGAATGGCAAAGGCCCTTATCAATACAATACCACATATGTTCCGGATGGCATTGACCATGAAACAATCACAGTTCAGCCAGGTGACGCTTTTGTTCTTAGCTTGGGTTACTTGCACTGCTAAATTTGTCTAACTAGGCAAATGATAATTCATTTCTTAAGAAGTTGTGAGCCATGAGTTCATTTCTATTTGGCGTCTTGTATTATATGTACAATTTGCCCTGCTAGATCTTTCTGTGGGAGTTATACTGCTCTATCTTGGTTTTGAATGATGGCTGTATTCATGGCCAGTATTGTGCTATGAGTCAAGGATGTAGATGTACCAACATATACAGTTGCTACTTATTTATTGGGAAACTCAGTGCCTTTTGCCTGACCTTGTTGCCTATTGTTTCAGGAAAAACGTACCGAGTGAGAGTGCATAACGTCGGAGTATCAACCAGCTTGAATTTCAGGATCCAGAACCACAACATGCTCTTAGCAGAATCAGAAGGTTCATACACAGTTCAACAGAACTACACTAGCTTAGACATACACGTAGGGCAGTCCTATTCTTTCCTGGTCACCATGGACCAGAACGCAAGCAGTGATTACTACATCGTAGCCAGTGCCAGAATGGTCAACGAGACGACATGGAGAAGGGTGACCGGTGTTGCCATCTTGCACTACACCAACTCCAAGGGGAAAGCAAGCGGTCCCTTGCCAACTGCGCCCCAAGATGAGTTCGACAAGACTTTCTCCATGAACCAAGCTCGATCCATCAGATGGAATGTTTCTGCTAGTGGAGCTCGTCCCAACCCACAGGGCTCATTCAGGTACGGTTCGATCAATGTCACGGACGTGTATGTGCTGAAGAACGTGCCGCCGGTGCAGATTAATGGGAAGAAAAGAACAACGCTTAGTGGGATATCATTTATCAATCCTGCTACTCCAATTAGACTTGCTGATCAGTTTAAAGTGAAGGGAGTGTATAAACTTGACTTCCCAAATAAACCGCTTACTGGACCACCAAAGTTGGAGACATCGGTTATCAATGGGACGTACAGAGGATTCATGGAAGTTATTCTTCAGAATAATGAGACCAGAATGCAGAGCTATCACCTTAGTGGATATGCAGTTTTCGTTGTTGGGTAGGAACTCCTTGAATGTTTACTCTTGGTTTCCAAACGACCCCTTACTTTCCTTTCTCAATGACTTGCTCATGATGATTTGTTTCTTTCAGGATGGACTATGGAGAATGGTCTGAAAACAGCAGGGGAACATATAACAAGTGGGATGGCATTGCCCGTACAACTGTGCAAGTAATGTCCTCGGATCTGTTTCACTCAATATTACATTCTATGTTTAAGTTATTAACACAGCCTCAACTCATTGCTGACAGGTTTATCCAGGAGCATGGACTGCAATCCTGGTATCACTTGACAATGTTGGAGTGTGGAACCTGAGATCAGAGAACCTCGACTCGTGGTACCTCGGACAAGAAACTTACGTGAGAGTTGTGAATCCTGAGGAGACGAACAAGACCGAGTTCCCCATCCCTGACAACGCACTCTTCTGTGGCGCCCTTGGCAAAATGCAGAAGTATGCATCTAAATACCCATTTTCCCCTCCCCTTGTCTACATTTGTTTACTAATCGAGCCGCTTTATCTTTACACTTTCTTCTTCTTCTCTGCCTCCCCAATTTGCAGGCCACAAGACATCTCTTCTGCAGCACGATTGCTCTTCAAAGCCGGCAACTTTAGCGTACTGATCACGTTATTGTACTTTGTATCTGCTGCAATCTCCATCTTCAGCTGATTTTGTTTCTGAGAAGTCGGGAGTCTCTCTAGCTAGTGCTGGTATTTGGTGTGCTGTATTGAGGCATTTTCTTTGTTCATGGCGGTTTGCTGGGTTTGTTGAGAGTGGGGTTTTAGTGGTCTGTAATTTCTAGTCGGGGTGGTCGCTGTCGATAACAACATTGTTAAATGAATTTTTTTACTTGTAATTTCTTCTAGCTTCTTTAACTTATTGGGATCTGTCTATTCTTTCAAATTAAATACATGTAATCTGTATCTGTGTATGTATTCATTCATTCCCCAGTTACCAAACACACTAAGTTATTCCATGGTGAAATGTTAGCTTCCTTACTGCGGCTGAAGCTTCTGGCATGCAGGTACATTGATATCTGTTTTCTTGGTGGGGTTATGGCATCATGGGCTACCAGCTTATCACTAAAGCTGGATCCTTTCTGTCCCATTTCTTCTTTGTGGTGGGGCATTTTGGTGCTGTTTCTGTGATTGTCCGTAAATAATGTGGAAAAGCTTTGCTGAATTGCTTTCCGCACAATTGCTCATCATGTCTGTTCTTTATAGTGTCTGCTTGTATTTCCGTTCAGAGACTTCTTCGGTGTAAGAAAAATTCGATCGAGTTGAACAAGCAAACGGAGCAGGGGACACTCAGTCTGGATCATTAGTCAATAGTCCAAAAGATGGGTTTATTGGGCCGAACGGAGTCAGGCAGGGCTGCAAATGAGCCAAGCCGCTCGCGAGCAACTCGGCGTTCGAATCGGAAAAAACTCGTTCGACACTCGACTCGTTATTTAACAAGCCGGCTCGCGAGCCAACTCGTTAGTTAACGAGCCAAGCCTGAGCTAGACCCTGCTCAGCTTGATAAGCTCGCGAGCTAGCTTGATTCGGTGGCTTGTCGAGCTAAGCTTGCGAGCTGCCTTGTTTTGAGCTTGTGGAAGGATGAATTACTCTTTTAAACATGAACATTTTCTTCTAATACAGATGTGTATGAAATTTAGATGTTATTTATAGTTTCTAGTGTTCTTTCTATCATTTAAATTCTTATGTTTACACATTTTTCCAGCAAAAATGATTTTAAATCGAGCTCATCTTGAGCCGAACTTGTACTCAGCTTGATAAGCTATGTTAATGAGCATTTATCGAGCTCTACCGAGTCGAGCTCGAGCTAGATTATTTTTATTCAAGCCGAGCTCGAGCTCGAGCTGGATTATCAAAATTCGAGTTCGAGCCGAGCTCGAGCTGAAAAATTAATAAACGAGTCGAGCTCAAGCTAAGCAAAAACTCGACTCGACTCGGCTCGTTTGCAGCCCTAAGTCAGGGTAATTGGATTGCATATTACAAAAATGGGCTCTCTACCTCCCGTTCGTGGAATCGGCCACAGCACTGTAGTCTGTAAGTAAGACATTGGGAGGCCCGACAAGTATCGGTGAACCGGTCCATATGTACAATCCTTGACTGACACCTCTCTCGAGTCGTATTAAATCAATACGTTTAGCTGATAAATTGTATTTATCCTTTTAAAAACCTTAACCTACCATCCATTTGGATAAGGGATATCAGTTGCATGATTCCAAATGTTAGGCGATTTTAGAGACATGACATGGTTGAATGATAATTACACAATAGTTTTAGAATAAAATATCCTATCACTTGCTTTTTTTTGGTATAACTTCCGAATTTCACAATTCTTTACGGGAGGCTAAATTGATATGCGATATTTAACAGTATAAAACGGTTAAACCACGATTTTAGTATAAAATATCATACCGCTAACTTTTCTGATATAATCTCCGGTACGGTATTTCAATCCTCGATAGACACACAAATATATAATACATAAATGATAAGAGGGAGATGGCGGGAAAGCGCATTACTCATCTACAGTGCTATTATTGCTTGGGAGAGAAAATGTGGCGGGAAAGGGCCATTACTCATATCATCCACAAAGTGGCAGTGATTATGAAGGACGGGACGGGGGGACAGAAGAGGCGATTCTATTAATTTTCTTTCATTTATGAATTTGATTTGATTGTGGGTCAGACAACAAGAGTTATAGATAATGAATTCTTTTGCTTAGCCGCCCCATCATTCATTCATTTATTTAAATCATAAAAAAAAGTAGCATAAATAGGGCTCTCACCCCCTCCCCTTCGCTCAGTTACCCACCTTTCCTTCAAACACTCCCCATTTCTCCAAAACCCAAATTCCGGGCGACATGGGCGAGGCCGCGGAAGCAGCAGCACAGAACCTATCGCCGGCTCGGGGGTCCGACGTGGCAGATGGGTTTTCCACTCCCAAGGGGCCGGAGCACCGGATTCCGGAGCCGACGGAGTGTCCCTGGGCGCCCAAGCCTGAAAGGCGGCCGCGCGAGATCAGGGTCAGGAGGAGGTTCCGCGTTGTGAGGAACTACGTGTTGGTAATCCGAGCCACCTACCGCCGGCCTCGCCGCACTTACTGCCAGTTCATACGAATTAGCGCATGCGTCGACCACGTACTACTTGAAGAAGATGCGTAACAGCGACCGAGCGAGTACTAATTCAGACAATAATCAACCATGTCTACGTGTCCATTGTTTGCTTTCGTGCGTTGTATGCATAGTTATAACTTTTAAGGTTATCTCAGTGCATCATCTTGTTCACCTCTTTTATGTTTGTCAACTGCTGCTTAAATGTCATCCTTAATTATAGTCGTTTGGTATCAGCAGATTGTCGAAATTGGTGGCATTATATAATTAAGTACCAGTATGTTATAAATTGATGTATTGTTTAATCGTGCGCATTTTTAAGATTACGATGTTTTGGTAATCCCAGGAATAATATTAGAAAATTACAATTTTTTGAATTGATGTTTATCCTTCCTTTGAGCTATTCAAATGCGAGTCAACCATATCGAAAAATGGACGGGGATGTATAGGGAAAGAAATTTTATTTCATTTTCACAAAAAAACAATCTTACCAACAAAAATTGAGATTGTATATCATTCAAAAGAATGATTTCAAGTGTCACATCAACAATAGAATACTTAAAAAAAACAAGAAATTATATACAATGCATGTATTTACTAAATACATCAATTAGATGTGTATATACCAAACTATCCAATCTTGAATTGTGGTGGGATTTATGATATACTACCCTGTAAACTTTTTCGTACAAGAAATTAATTGTAAAGTGTTAAGCCATTCCGGAAGTATTATATAACATTTGTGATTTAACTATTACGTAAGAAACAATCGTCATTTCGTAACCTTTACGTAATGGAGGTGTATTTTAATTATGTAAAAACTGTAAAAGGTTAATAAGTGGTGATTCGGCAGCGCCGGTTACTATTATTTTGATAATTGCAATGCTCTAAATTAATTGTAATATATTCTAAGGGTCTAGATTCAAAGAAATTAGCTAAATTGAAATTATGCGAGGAGAAATTACTTTGGGAGTTCGCTAAAATGTATTTGGAAAGACATCTGTTGGTGAACATAAAAATAACTCCACGTTTCACTGCTAGTACCATTTCCCTTTTTGTGATGAACAAATGAACACTCCCAACGCAGAAAAGCGATCCAAACTGGGCATTGATGTGCACAGTTATTACCAAGGAATGGGCGAAACAAATAATGGAGGGACAAGTGACTAGTGAGGATGATGAATTGAAGATGCATCGAGATGGATGGACGGTGCAGCTGGATTCACATTAATGGCTGCCCATTTATCATTCTATTAATCAAGAGCTAAACATAATAACATGCACGGTTTATTGTCTCTAGAGTGCAATCATCACTTAATTCATGCAATATTGTGTTTATTCACATAATAATAATGATATTATTTTCACACCAATAATAATGATTATCTACGCATGTTATTTATTTACGTTATTGTAAAATCAATTTCAAAATTCATAATATATCAAAATGGATATATTTGTATAGATTATGATGAATACAACTCATTTTTACCGATATTGAAAATCCAAAATTAACTCCGTTAAATATGGCTAAAACTTTAGGGGGGAAATATAAAAAGTACTTTGGGGTTCCATTTGAGTGAATTAATAACCACAACTCTTACGTGAATAAACACCGACTTGTGCGCATAATCACCAGATGCTGTGAATGCTCCACAATGGGTGAATAAGTGGCGGAGCCAGCTTGCAAGATGATGGGTTTTGGTACCCAACTTGGTTTGAAATTAGGATACAATAAATGATAATATGGTACACAATTCATAATACTCAAACCTAAAACCTCATGTTCACTGGTTTTACTTGTCTATCAATATATTATAGAGAACTTTGTGACACACGAGTTAATCTTGTATATGATGTAAACAACTCTAGTTTTTACATAAAATTGTCTCACTATTCTAGTTTACTAATTCCTAAATTAGTGTCAAATTCTCCGGCCAGTCTCAAACGAAAATCATTCCACAGACTACGGTAACACCATTCGTATGTCAAATTCCCGTTTGCCTTCTTCTCCACCACTACAATCAACAGGAAGTGGCGTTCCGTGATCTGAGGAATTTGCTGCAAACCGGAGCCGTGCTCGCCGCCGAGTCGCCCCGCCGCACTCCCTGCTAGAATCGCCCCAACCAGCCCAAGAGTGAGCTGCCTATCCGTTTTCGCGGCGGATCAGCAAAAAATAAATATCCACAATTCCAAAATTCAATACAATTACAAATCAATGGGAAATATAATTTTCTCGTTATTCAATCCTATTAGTCATATACATATGTGGCTTTTTTTTCCCCCTTCTTCCAAATAATCCTTCTAGTTTCGCCTATGTCGTTTCCACGCCCGTTGTCGAAGTATTACAGGCGACCAAGCGAAAAGCCGACCAAAGCAGGGAAAGAAGTTATTCGAAATTGTGTTAATGGTGGCCAAAGAACATAATGACGAATTAGGACACTGCACCTTCTTCGATTCGGCAGCCGTATCTTCAAATAATAGGAGAGGTATCTCGACCGGTGAATCCACAGCAGCTACACATTTGAACTGTTTACCAACACCCCAAAAAAAGCAAAACAAAATCAGCTTCCAACCTAAAAACAGATGTAGAACATTTTTCGGGACACATGCAGCTTGATTATAAAGAAGGGTTAATACTTTATTACGACTATGTAATCAATTTTGACCCCTGGTTTTTTGACCCGTCTGGAGGAAGAAGAATAATGGTTAGGATTTTTTGGGTTATGATCAAAAAGGAAAGAAGGCGAGGGGATAAGGTGGGGATGGGTGGCCAAATTTTTTTTCTTTATTATTCAATTTTATAAAGGAAATAAAAAGAAAAATGAAATTATAATTTTTTTTGTGCTGACATGGCAGTGACCTGGACAGTTGACTAACGGTCAATGGTGTTGACCGTCCAAACAAACAGTCAAACCACACTCCAAGCCAATTCTGTCTATATACTGTATAGTTCGGATCAAAATGTTAATTTTTCAAACCACGAGCTAAAGTTGATTACATGGTCATAGTTAAGGCCATAATAAGGTATCAATCCTATAAAGAAACCCCTCAGCTAGCTAGCAAGATATCACATATATATCTTTACCTTTTCCGTGCTATACTTGCTACGCACATAGTCCGAGTCGTCGTCGCGTTTTCTTTTTCGGCCTGAATGCAGATCATCGCGCATGATAAGTACACATTCTTTTAGCTGCGGTGGCTTGTATCCAGAGTGGCTTTGTAAGCTATCATTCTGTTCCATCGAGAAAACTATTTAAGTTAGACACTTCAAAAAGAAAATATGACCTAAAATAAAAATGTGGTAGGTTTTGATGAATTTGTCACTAACCCAAGGGTGAGCATCCGGCTTGATTATGAATCTGGAGAGAAACATCACCGACGCAGCAACTAGAGACGGAGAGAACTCGGAGCCGAGACGACAATCCCACAAACTCAGCTCAGCCACGTAGGAAGCCATGAAGTGGAGCTGCGATTTCACGGGTTCCTCTTGAGCAACAACTTCACAAAGCTCACTGAGGAACGTGTGTGTCGTGGGAGCACCCATTTCGAATTTCAACTTCTTCAGTATCTCCACTTCCATATTGAGCAACTCCTGTCTGGATTTAGTACCCGCGATGTCGGCAAGATCCGCCACATCAAGTTGGTCAACTTCTTCGTACTTGCTACATTATTAACAAACAAAGAAATTCAAAAGATGGTTAAGCAATTGCTCATAATATATATATGTGGGACCGACTAGCTAGTGTGCATAGTTTCTTACGAGGCAATGAGCATTGAAGAAGCAGCGAGTAGACGAAGACGGCGTCGTGTGGTGGTACGAATCCGATGATCCAGAGACAGGTATCTGTCTATGTAGGCGACGGCGCGAAACAGAGTTTCGGGGCGAAGCTGTTTCTTTTCCGCTAGCTTCACCAACGAGTCCACGAGAACCGCTCGCGTCTCTGGAGTCAATTCAGACCGGCGTTTCTCCATGTTTGCTTAGTCCGGCAGTGACAATGGCGTCTTCTTCGGCTCCGCGAGGGCTAATTGTGTCCTGCCGAGAGGGCCATGGAATGGGTATTTATAATGTCTAGGCCTCCTGAGTCCTGACCACAACGGGAAAGGAATACATGGAACAAGTGGAAAGGCAATTAGAATTTAGAAGTTTACAATAGTTTTAAGGAAATGGGCCTACGATACTCTCTCGGCCCACTATTAATAGGAGAATTGGCCGAAAATGTACTTGGGCTTTCTCAAATCATAGCGGCCCAATACAGAGTACATTATAGCAACTCTCAGCCCTGGTTCTTTATTGTATAACCAGTAACCACCTCCGTTTTTATTAAAACCAAGATTCCTACCCAACTAGAAAAAAATTGTGCTAAAAATCCATGTAAGTCATGTATTTTTTTTTTTAAAAAAAAAGTGTAGGTAGAACTTTCACCTCCTAATTCAAGACCACTATTCAAATTTCTTTTGTTTTATTTTTCTCTAGACAATCACGTATTTTTAGTCGTATTTAAAGGCATTATACCATCGTTCTATGCGCTCATTCAAATAAAAATCAACTCACATATGTGAAGTTTACATGATCTTAAAATACTTTGTGCTTAAAACAACTATTAAAATTGAAATTTATGAAACATTCAAGCATACGATCACTTAATCAAACCTAACCATAATATCATGTCATAATCTATTTAGTCCCGCCAAGAATATTAATATGAATGTTTTATCACTTTGACCAGCTAGCTATATAGTAAAAAAATAAAATAATGATGTACCAAATGAAGTGTAGATAGAACTTTCGCCTTCTAATTCGAGACCACTATTTAAATTTCTTTTGTTTAATTTTTCTCTAGAAAATCACATATTATTAGTTATATTTAAAGGTCTTATATCACCATTTTATGCGCTCGCTCAAACAAAAATCAACTCACATATGTGAAGTTTATATGGTCTAAAAATACTTTATGCTTAAAACACAATTATTAAAATTGAAATTTATGAAACATTCAAACATACGATCACTTAATCAAACCAAACCATAATATCCATTTAGTCCAATCAAAGGAAAATAATGATGTACCAAATGAAGAGAGGATAATACATATGCATTCCATTTCCATGTGTTGCTCGATAGAGAATTACTGAATTGCCTACGTCTATGTCTCATTGGCGGGTAAAAATGGGCGAAGGTGGGGTTCACTGTTGAGTCAGGTCATGTGTCGGCACATGGGCCTTGGATAATTTATTTCGGGCCACAGCACAAGCACCCCGAAACCCACGTACCCCCATCTGTCGGAGAGGAAATTCATTTTAGTCTCTACCAGCCCAAACCTTATTGGGGCCCAAACCTAGTTATTGGCAATTTCGCTGTGAAGCTCTTTTCTTTTTGGTTTTTACCATTTCCATTTTCTCTTCGTATATATTATCTGTGGCCTATGTTAGCCGTGAGCTGTAATGGTAATAATGCACGGTGGATGGGGTGACTTAATATTTATATTCACTTTGCGGGTAGGTGCACGTTAGTTACATAAGATAGTTACAATATTTTTTTTCCGGATATGCGACTGCAAAAGTTTTTTTGTTACTATGCTGAATTGGTAACATTTAGTCAAATTCCTCGACAATGATAGAGATTTTAATTCATAAGCAATATCTAATATTAACAGATAAAGCTCGTTTTGAGATGAAATGAAAGAGTTATTGTAAGAATTCTAAAGTAGAAATTGCAGAACAATGTAAGAATGTGTGTCCTCTTGAGAAATCATCTTGATATGCACGACAAACTAAAAATCTTCTTAGCATAGATCCACAATAGTCCAGAAAAACAATTTGGTTATATAAAGAGGAGATTTGAAGGATGAAATAAAATTTTTTGAGACACGGAGGCTTCACCAAGTAGTAGCTAAGTTAGAATGAAAATCAATGTGATGATTTGACAGTAACTTAATTCGGATTGATCTTGATGAATATTAAAATGAATTCAGAAAGAATAAATCAAGACACGGTGTGAGCAAAATAAGTATCGTGTAACACGCGTAATACTATTTAAGAAATATATAATACTCATTTCAAATAGATCAGAAAAAATCGAATCAAGCAAAAATCAAATCGAAATTATTCTCATGTAAATAAAGATATATAGCTTCGACCTAGACATATACTGATATACATATCCAGATCCCACATTACATCAGGGCGTACCTTAGCCAGATACATCCACTGCCTTGGACCTGACCTTTAAAAGCTTATAATTTCCCTAACTTCAAAAATCCAATGTACTTCATGTGTCAAACAGTACCTTATGAATATAATGCAGAGCATTATGGAGTATGCGTGACCCAACATGGACCAAATATTATACCGGTACTTAGCTCTCCACAAACATAATAGTACATACTTGTAACCTTACATATCACAGGATATGTCATGCTCATCAAACTTTGCGTACTGAACTAACATTGAATACAGTGATTTTCAGAAGTTCGAAGAACTTTGCGGTCATCAACAATATTATTTCTATCACGATTTTTTTTTACTATCCGTACAAATGAAGTAGTCGATCGAGCACACCTCCAAGACAAAAATAGCCATAAAAAACAAAACGGCACAACATCAGCTTAATTGTAACACCGTAGGCAAATCCCACATCGACAAAGCACGAGAGAGATTCATGGTTCAAAAGTAGGAAACCGACCTTAACTGACAAGACACGTTTTGAGCGGGTGTAATTAGGGATGGCAATGGGGCGGGTTTGGGGCGGGTTTGCCTAAACCATCCCCATCCCCATCTTTAAATACCCAAACCCATACCCGCCCCATACCCATGCGGGGGAATGTTTTGCAAACCCATCCCCATACCCATGGGTTTCGGGTGCCCATGGGTAATACTCATCCCCGTACATCCAACATTATTATACCTAAAACTTACAAGAAAAGTTTTAATTATAACCATAAACAAACCTATTATATCACGAAGTCAACAAAACACGGTTATTTTCTAAATACGATTCAAAGAATATGATCCTAAAACATCCATTAATACATAATATAGACTATAATATTTTTTAAATTATTATGCTCTAACTCTTGATACATTTACTAAGTAATAATTAACTAGCATAATTTTGTTGACAAGGGGGAAAGTGAAAGAGTGGAAGGAGAATTGAGGGAAATGAATTAGGTTTTGATTAAGGTGGTTACTCAATTGCATTTCTACTATTTATTTTCTCGAGTTATCATCATCATCATTGATTGATTACAATTTAATCCACGTATTTTTTGATATGTGAAGAAATTCTCTTGGTGGGGTGGGTATGGGTATGGGTATGGGGCGGGGGAGGCTAAAACCATACCCGCCCCATACCCATCAAACCTTTTGCGGGTTTTACCCATACCAGCCCCATACCCGGTCAAAGCGGGGATTCCCCGCGTTGACTGGGTATGGGGCGGTCGGGTACCCGCGGCCATGGGTTTGATTGCCATCCCTAGGTGTAATGGAGGAGTTCTTGTGAGAACTCCGAAGTTAAACGTGCTCAGTGTGGAGTACAACAAGGATGAGTGACCTTATGTGAAGCCACCTTGAATCGCACCCCAAGTCGAAAACCGTGAGAGTCGAGGCCCAAAATGGACAATATCTTTATCGGGGAAAAATTCGAATGTTACATTAATCATCTCGTAAAAAAAAAAAAAAAAAACAGTTAACCACAGGTAAAACCAGCACAACTCACATGATACCAACCACAAGAATCTCGTCCAGAAACAACATTAATAGCCACCATCAATTATCCATCCGTCAGCTGCATACCAGAAACTGTAAGAATTTGCCTTCTGTTAGGTGCTTGCATTTATACCTTTTTCCCACCTATAGTTTCATGAAGGAGAACATATATAAGTAGTAAGGTAATAATACATCAACTCAATCAAAACACCCAAACAGAACATAATATATAATATCCAAATGACGACCATGTCATACATAAACATGTTCCTAGGACTTGTAATGGCCGCCGGCTTCCTAATCCGTCACTGGCAGCGGAGCAGGGCGCTGATGGCGCCACCGCTCGGCACGAACTGGCCCGTGGTTGGCATGCTGCCCACCTTGCTTCGCCACGCGGCGGACTTCCACGACTTCTTGACGGCGGTGCTGCGGCGGCAGGGCGGCACGGTTGAGTCGAAAGGCCCGTGGCTGACGGACATGGACAGCATCATCACCAGCGACCCGGCCAACGTCCGTCACATACTGAGCGGAAACTTTGGGAACTATCCCAAGGGGCCCGTGATGAAGGACATTTTCGAGCCGTTTGGGGACGGAATTTTCGCCGTCGACTTCGAGCCGTGGGTGCTTCAGAGGAAGAAACTCCAATTGCTCATGAAAAACAACAGGTGCGGAAACTTTTTATAGGGTGTCCTCGTCAATAATTAAATTAAATTAAAAACAAATAATTAAATTAAATAAATAATAAAATATGCAACTAGTAAATTTTTAAAGAAAGATCACGACGTGTTTTCAGATTATAAAAAAGAATATAAAATAGCTCAATGACCAGAGCACAAGACTCCTCTATAGTGACTAAATTAAACTGCCATCTCTTTTGTTTAATTTATTTTCTCCATCCTTCACAAATAAGTACTTCTTGCTAATTAATTGATCGTGGTTGTGATTAATTTGGACCAATTGGACAAACTAAAAAAAAAATGATGCATTACAGGTACAAGTCATTACTTGAAAAGGCGATACATGCTAAATTGGAAAGTGGCATCTTCCCAGTCCTCAATCATTCGGCGGAAAATAATTTGAAATTGGATCTTCAAGATGTGTTTCAGAGATTTACATTCGATATAATTTGCATCACAGTGTTGGGATTTGACCCGTGCTCATTAAACATTGGCTTCCAAGACGTCTCGCTAGCAGAAGCTTTCGATGATATAGAGAAAGCGATGTTCCGACGACATGTTGTACCCACAACAGCTTGGAAGCTTCAGAAT